CTAAATGCTGCCCATTGCTGACTAGGATGACTGTACCTGTCTACCACTATGCCTGAAAGTTCTCATTCCCCCACATCCCCACTGTCACTGTTAGCATCCACTTTTCAGTGTTGTGCATCAACTGATGTACAGTAGTTTCTTGCTGCTGTTTCAGCTTGAGTTTTTATTATTATTATTATTACTAATGCATCCAACTGAGTCTCTTCAGACACTCATTGGCCATTTAGACAGCCCCTTCTGAGATCTTATTTTTCCTCTCTTTTCTTGTTTTTCTATCGCATTTCATGTATTTTTCATATATAATAAATAGTAATCTCTTAGCAGTTGTTGTTGTTGATAAATGTCATTGAGTCAGTTCTTACTCATAGCTACCCTTTATAGGGCTTCTGAGGAGCGGCGGATGCGTTTGAACGACTGACCTTGTGGTGCAAGCCAAACTTCTGGACCAGTGCTTTATCCTACAGTGCCACACCAGGACTCTTAGCAGCTGTAGAAACTATAAATGTCTTCTCCTAGGCTACCCTCTCTTAACCTGGGCTATGGTGTTCTTCACTGAACAGATATCCTTAATTTCAATCAATCCAAATCCTTCTGTTTTCTAGCTTATGGTTTATAATGTGAGGAGTTTTGTGTAAGAAGTATTTCTCCAGCCCTGGGTCACAAAGATGTTATCCTGTATGTTCTTCTGCTAGCTTTAGAGCTTTTCCTTTCTTTCATCTGTGGGTCTTTAATCCATCTGGAGGCCAGCTGGGAGCTTGCAGAGAAATAGAAGTCCAGCTTTAAAAGGAGCAATTTTCTCAGCCTCAACCACTAAACAACCCATTCTCCCCACATTCTCTTATCTGTGGTGCCAGCTTTCTTGTATATCAAGTTCTTGTACACCCTGGGTCTGTTGGCAGCTGTCTATTGCATCCTTGGATATCCTATACAGGGTTGCTATGAGTAAGAACCAACTTGATGACACTTAACAACAACAACATTGCATGCTATAAGGAAACATGGTGGTGCAAGTGGTTAAGCACTCAAGTGCTAACTGAAAGGTTTGGTTAGTGGTTTAAACCCAAGAGCCACTCCACAAAAGAAAGATGTGACAGCCTGCTTCCATAGAGATTTACGGCCTTAGAAATCTTGCTGCTCTCTCCCTCTGTATGTCAGACTTGACTTGACAACAATGGGCTTAGTATTCTTTGTTTCATTTTGTTTTCATTGTATGACATCAATATCCTGGTTTAGTCCATTACTCCAGTCAACCAACCCACTGCAATCAAGCTAATTTCAACTCATAAAAACCCTGCACAACATGGTAGAACTGCTCTTTATTGTTTCCAGGACTGCATATCTTTACAGGAGCTTCACCTTTTTCCTTGGAGCAACCAATGGTTTTAAACCGTCTACCTTGTGATTCTGGTAGTGTAGTGGTTACGAATCGGGCTGCTAACCTCAAGGTCGGCAGTTCGAAAATACCAGCTGTTCTGTGGGAGAAAGATGAGGCTTTCTTCTCCTGTAAAGATTTGCAGCCTCAGAAACCCTGTGCAGGGTCACTATGAGTCGGAACCGACTCCACAGTACTCAACAACAACACCTTGTGATTGGAACCGACTCCATGGCACATAACAATAACAACAACCTTGTGACTGGAGTCCTGGTGTGGTGCTGTGGGTTAATACGCCAGACTGCAAAGCCGTTTTAACTGCAAGGTCAACGGTTCAAGCTTGCCAGCTGCTCCTCAGAAACGCTATACAGGGTTGCTAAGGGTTAGAATCAACTCAATGGCACTTAACAACAACAACCTTGTGATTAAGAGTCAAATGCTTAACTCACTGCACTGCCAGGGCTCCTTATACCAGGACTGACACTGCTGTGTGCTATCAAGTCAATTTTGTGTCATAGCAACCATGCATAGGGTTTCTGAGACTAAATATTTATGTAAGAGAAAGCCTCATCTTTGTCCTGTGGAGCAGCTGGTGGATTTGAATTGCTGACTTTGCAGTTAGCAGCCCATTGTGTAACCCACTATACAACCAGGGCTCCTTCTATTACTACAACCACCAAAAGGGAAATTTTTTTTTTTTTTTTTTTTTTGCCATCAGGTCAATTCTGAGTCATAATGATCCCATGTTGGGCCAGAGCTGCACTGTATTCCATAGGGTTTTCAATGGCTGGGTTTTCAGAAGTAGATCTCCTGGTCTTTCTTCCAGGGGACTCCTGGGTGGACTGAAGCCTTTAATCTCTTGGTTCGCATCTAAGTGTGTTAACTATTGCATCACCTAGTGGCTCTGCCAGGACCACTGACCTGTAATATGCCATAGCACTTGAGTCAGTGATTCTTCTTGCATCTCCTTTGCTCTTATTTTTCAAAATTGACTTAGCTATTCTTATTCATTGACTCTTCTATATAAATTTCACAATGACATTATTAAATTCCTTCACAATTCCACCTGGAATTTTTATCAGGAGTTCATTTAATGCATAGATGAGTCTGGGAGACTCAAGAGTCTTCTCACATTAAGATATCTCATCCATGTACACAATGAATCTCTAGTAAATCATCTGGTAACATCTCCTTGTATGTCCTTTACTAGAATATGACCTTTTCGACACAAGGGTGTATGTGTTCCTTGTTAGGTTTATTCCAGGATGCTTTTTTAGGCTATTTGCTGTTGTAAAGGGTGACTTATTTTTCAGTCACGTCAAAGAAAATTGTACTGGACAATATTAAGCAGGCAAGGATGATTTTATTCTGGGTTATTGAAATAGAGGATAGAGTATAGACCAAATCTGAACTCAACTCCCCTGAATCAAATGGTTGTTGTTGTTAGGTGCCATCAACTCGATTCCAACTCATATCAACTCTACGCACAACAGAATGAAACACTGCCATCTTCACAACCAGTATTAAACTTCAGTCCATTGTTGCTGCTACTGTGCCAACCTATCTTGTTGGGGTCTTCCTCATATTCGGTGACCTTCAACTTTAGCTAGCATGATATCCTTCTCTAGGGACTGGTCCCTCCTGACAATGTGTCCAGAGTATGAAAGATGAAGTCTTGAGATCCTGGCTTCCAGGGAGTATTCTGGCTGTACTTCTTCCAGCACAGATTTGTTTGTTCATCTGTAAGTCTACTGTACTTTTAATATTCTCTATCAATACCATAACTCAAATGCAGCAATTCTTCAATGCCTTCCTTATTCACTGTCCAACTATCACATGTATATAAAGCTATTGAAGATACCATGGCTTGGGTCAGACTCAGTTTAGTCCTCAAACTGACATTTTTGCTCCCAAATGCTTTGAACAGGTCTTGTGCAGCAGATTTCCTTAATGCAATAATGTCATCTGATTTCTTGACTGCTGTTTCCATGAGTGTCAATGGTTGACCCAGGCAAAATGAAATCTTTGACAACTTCAAACTTTTCTCCATTTATTATGGTATTTATTGGTCCAGTGTTGAGGGTTTTTGTTTTCTTTCCAATTAGGTGCAGTTCATACAAAGGCTGTGGTCTTTGATCTTCATAAGTATTTTAAGTCGTCTCTGGTTTCAGCAAGCAAGGTTGTATCATCTGCATATTGCATGTTGTTAATGAGTCTACCTCCAATCCTGATTCCACATTCTTCTTCATATAATCCTGCTTCTCAAAATATTTGCTCAGATTGAATAAGGATGGTGAAAGAATACAACCCTGTCACACACGTTTCCTGACTTTAAACCTTTCAATGTTCCCTTGTTCTGTTCAAACAACTGCCTCTTGGTCTAAGTACAGATTCCTCATGAGCACAATTAAGTGTTCCAGAATATTCATTCTTCACAATGTTGTCCATAGCTTGTCATGATCCACACATTCTAAAGACTTGGCATAGTCAATAAAGCACAAGCAAATATCTTTCTGGTATTCTTTGCTTTCAGCCAAGATCCAGCTGATGTATGATATCTCTCATTCTACATCCTCTTCTGAATCTTGCTTGAATCTCTGGCAGTTCCCTGTCAGTGTACTGTTGCAGCTGTTTTGTTAATTATCTTGAGCAAAATTTTATTTGCATGTGACATTAATGATATTGTCAGATGACTGTTGGCATTCCATAGGATCACCTCTCTTTTGATTGGACACAAATATAGATCTCTTCCAATCAGTTGACCAAGTAGCTGCCTCAGTTCGTTGAAAGATTTTGATTTGTATTCCATCAATTCCTGGAGCCTTGTTCTTTGCTAATGCCTTTAGTGCACATTAGACTTCTCTCTTCAATTGGCTTTTTATCATATGTTACCTCTGAAATGACTGAACATCATCCATTTCTTTTTGGCACAGTGACTCTGTGTATTCCTTCCATTCTCTTTCGATGCTTTCTGCAACATTCAATATTTTGCCCAATGAATACTACTGCAAGTCAAGCTTGAATTTTTTCCTCAGTTCTTTCAGCTTGAGAAACACTGAGTGTGTTCTTCCCTTTAAGCTTTCTAACTCCAGATCTTTGCAAATTTCATTATAATGTTTGACTTTGTCTTCTCAAGCTGCCCTTTGAAATTTTCTGTTCAGCTCTTTACCTCCTCTTTTCTTGATTTACTTTAGCATCTCTACACTGGAGAACAAGTTTCGTAGTCTCTTCTGGCATACATTTTGATCTTTTCTTTCTCTCTTGTCTTCTTAATAACCTTTTGCTTTTTCCTGTATGATGTTCTTGATATCATCACACAACTCTTCTGGTCTTCCTTCTTTACTGTCTAATGCATCAAATTTGTACTTGAGATGATGTCTAAATTCAGGTCAAATGTGTTGAAAGTCATATTTTGGCTTTTGTGGACTTGTTTTAATTTTCTTTAGCTTCAGCCTGAACTTGCATATGATCAATTGATAGTCTGTTCCACAGTCTGCCCCAGGCTTTGTTTTGGCTAATAATATAGAGATTGTCTGTGGGTTCTTTGCAGAGATGTACTCAATTTGATTTCTGTGTATTCCATCTAGCGAAGTCTTTTACATTGTTTTAAAAAGGTATTTGCGCCTTTCGGCGCTGCGGCCGCAGCCATGAGTATGCTCAGGCTTCAGAAGAGGCTTGCCTCCAGTGTTCTGCGCTGTGGCAAGAAGAAGGTCTGGTTGGACCCCAATGAGACCAATGAAATCGCCAATGCCAACTCCCGTCAGCAAATCCGGAAACTGATCAAAGATGGCCTTATCATCCGCAAGCCTGTTACTGTCCATTCTCGGGCTCGATGCCGGAAAAATACCTTAGCCCTCCGGAAGGGCAGGCATATGGGCATAGGTAAGCGGAAAGGTACTGCCAATGCTAGAATGCCTGAGAAGGTGACCTGGATGAAGAGGATGAGAATTCTGCGCCGGCTGCTCAGAAGATACCGCGAATCTAAGATTGACCGCCACATGTATCATAGCCTATATCTGAAAGTAAAGGGAAATGTGTTTAAGAACAAGCGGATTCTCATGGAACACAACCACAAGCTGAAAGCTGACAAGGCTCGCAAGAAGCTCCTGGCTGACCAGGCTGAGGCCCGCAGGTCTAAGACAAAGGAAGCACGCAAGCGCCGTGAGGAACGGCTCCAGGCAAAGAAAGAAGAGATCATCAAGACTCTGTCCAAGGAGGAAGAGACCAAGAAATAAAGCTGCCTCGCTCTTGTCTGTATATAGTGGCCTGGGCAATTACATAGATCAGTCATTCAATAAAACAAACCTTTGTTTGCCTGTCAAAAAAAAACTAAACTAAAAGGTATTTGCAATGTAGAAGTCATTGGTCTTGCAAAATTTTATCTTGCAATCTCCAGCATCATTTCTATCACCAAGGCCATATTTTCCGACTAATGATCCTTCCTCTTTGTCTCCAATCATTGCATTCCAATTACTAGTAATTATCAATACCTCTTGATTATTGTTGTTGTTGTTGTTGTTAAGTGCCATCGAGTCGGTTCCGACCCATAGCGACCCTGTACATGTTTGGTCAATTTCCAAACTGAAGAGGTTGGTAGAATTCTTCAGTTTCATCATCACTGGCATTAGTGGTTGGTGCATAAATTTAAATAACAGTGTTAATAACTATTCTTCCTGGTTGTTGTTAAGTGCCGTCAAGTCAGTTGCAACCCATAGCAACCCTGTATAGGGTTCCTGAGGAGCAGCTGGTGAGCTTGAACCTCCAACCTTGAAGTTCAAACTGACTTTGCAGTTCAGCGCATTAACCCACAGCACCATACCAGTACTCTGGTCTTCCTGGTAGTCATATGAATATTATCCTATCACAGATAAAATTATACTTCAAGATTGATCTTGAAATGATCTTTTTAAAGATGAATGTGATGCCACTCCTCTTCAATTCATCTTTCCAACATAGTAAACCATGTAATTTGCAGATTCAAAATGGCTAATACCAGTCCATTTTAGCTCACTAGTGCTTAGGAACATTGATGTTTATGTATTACATTTCATTTTTTAAAACCTCCAATTTTCCTAGATTCATACTCTGTGCATTCCAGGCTCCAATTATTAATGGATATTTGCAATTGTTTCTCCTTATTTTGAGTTGTGCCCTATCAGCAATCGAAGATCTTGAAAGCTTTATTCCATTTATACAATCACAGTCAAACCTACTTTGAGGCAGCAGTTCTTCCTCAGTTGTATTTTGAGTGACTTTCATCCTGAGGGGCTCATCTTCCAGAACTATATCTAGCGATAGGCCGGTGCTATTCATCTTGCTCCAATATTCAATATTCTGGATATTCTGGTGCTGTCTGATGGTGTTTCACTGCTATTCATAAAATTTTCAGTGACCAAACATTTTAAAGTAATCTGCCTCTCCTTCTTCTGAGACTATCTTAGTCTGGAAGCTCAACTGAAACCTATAGGGTTTTAACAACTGGATTGGGCTTTGGAAGGTGCTAGAAGATGTTAAGAGAATTGATCAATGAAATTGGTGCAGTACTTACTGAGTTTGTAATTTAGGACTATTTGACTCTACATGTTTTCTTTCTATATGATTAAGCAATGTGGATCCTGTAAGGGTCAGGGTAGAAGGACAGGGAAATAAGGGACTCCCTGATTAAGTACCTGGACAATGTAAGAGCCAAATGAAAGAAGGTCAGGAAGATAAGGCTGGTAGAAACCCGTCTACAGTTTAGTTAAGCTGAAGAGAATGTCAAGACTGTCTTGGTCTGTTAATTGTTTCTGATATAGAGGGAGGCTGTTAGTATCTATAAACTGGTTGTGTTTACAGAAGCCTTGCTTATGCCCTTTGTTAGTGCTATTGCTTTATCTGTTGATTCAGATGGGTTTTCTATATATGTGATGTTATCATTAACAAATAATGAGGATTAAATCTCTTTTTTTCAATCCTGATCAATCAAATGCCCTTTTCTTGCCCTTTTCTTTCTTTAGAGTGTGAGTTGAGACTTCCCAGGCCCCTGCCCCATATGGTGTCAATAATAGGGATGATTATAGTGAGAGGATATCTGAAGAGTTGGTACCAAGTATCATATTTGCTGTAGGCTTATGGGCTAGAGTAGTTGCTATGAAATTAAGGAAGTTTATTTCTATTCTGACCATTTTCTTCTTTAAATTATAAATTGACATTGAACAGTTTTCACAATCTAATAATACAATTTAAAATAGTATTCTTAAAAATATATTTGAGGGGGATAACAAACAAGATGGCAGATTGGGTGGAAGTGCAGTAAAGGAGCTCTGCCAGCAACAACACAGAATACCCAACCAAGCAGGCTCAGTGGATGGTCCCAGAACTCTGAACCACATATAAAGGAATACTTAGAAGGTTGGAAGGCTCACAGCTGGGGGAATTTGTGGCAGAAGCAAGAA